TTTGTTAATATCTGCAAAAGAATCATTTTACCCAAATGCTAGAAGTAAAATGATCCCCCACATGGGGCAAAATGATCCTATTTTCAAAACATTATTTTATTACTACACTTTCGATAAATAAATAACAATAAATGCAAAACAGTTTATTTATAAAAAAAGCATAAAACAACATACAAAGCATTAAAACATTTTTAATACCTTAACTAATTTAAAACTTGATATTTTTCTTAACTCGATAGGTTTGGGTTTGATGCAAACAGAAATCACACTCAAAATCGCAATCGTTCTCATCGACCCCGACACACTGATCATGAGCTTATTTTAGGCATTTAATGCACTTGATCCATCCTTCGCCAGTCAAAGAAGCAGCGTATTTTCGCAGCAAAAGATGCACTCTTCTGTTTCTGATCCGTTGTTACTGCTCGAGTCATCACTTTCCTCTACTACTTTTTTGTCTCCTTGTTTAATTTAACTTTTTTCGTGCTTTCTGATTTTGACTTGTTTTTCTTTTTTCTTAGCCTCTAGTTCAAGTTTTTTCCTATTCTCCTCTTCAAGCATGATTTTATATGGGGTACTCGTGAGCAAAACAGTAGCAACAGACTTTCGTTTTTGAGCTGCTCTGTTTCCCTTAATTTTTGGAAGAGGATTGTAATCAACAGGGGTTACGGTAAAGGAACTTTCCACTTCGACTTCACATTGGTCTGATACCTGATTTGTAATTGCTGGAGGGATATCCGGTCGTGTACTTGGCCCAGGAATTGGAGAACTACGTAGAAGTGGATTGGTTGCAGAAGTTTCTTCATTATTCTCTAACAGCCGTATGCATAGTCGATCGACAGCGATTTATTTCGGCGTATCGCCAGCGATCCGCCGGCGAAATCCCAAAAAGCTGGCGACTCGCCGGAGATTGTCACGGGAATGTCATTTCACGCAAGTTTTTATTTTCTTTTATAGGGATTATCACCGGTATCTCTCGCATTTTATTCATGATTCATTTCTTAAAACTCAAAAAATAATGAACGAATATCAAATTTTTCCCTATAAAAGAACATGAAAACTTGCGTGAAATGACATTCCGGTGACAATCTCCGGCGAGTCGCCAGCTTTTTGGGCTTTCGCCGGCGGATCGCCAGCGAATCGCTGGGATACGCCGAAATGAATCTCTGGCGAGTCGCTGGCGATCGACTATGCATACGGTTGTAAGTTTGTTTGATTATTTTGAGCAGCTTCGTGGGTCTCTTCCGTAACTTCTGCTGCTGCGAAATCAGCGCCAGAAAACGTGTGTCAGGATCAAAGGGCATAATACCAGTTTTTTTAAAAGAATTAATTGCATTATTCGGTACACATGCTTTCAGTCAGGCTTCTGAAAAGATTCTGCTTATCTGGAACGTTATTACTGTTCAGCCTGGATTCTTGGTTAACGTTATTTTCTTTTGCCTTAGTCACGACGTTCAGATTTTTAGTGTGGGTCAAATATCCATCTAAAATTAGCCAGACGTGATTCTCTTTAGTTGGCTTCGTAAAATTCAAAAGTGATCAAACCATTGACCAAACATTTCTAATTTCATCCAGCCGGAATCATTGCAACCGAAAATAGTTCCAGGTGGAGCGCCAACCATCAATTCAGCTTTAATTCTTTTCCTACTAAAAATTAGCATAGGAGGAACAAAAGCCCCACCAGCAGAAGCGCAAATTACAGCAGTTGTTGAAACTCCCCTTTCAGCTGATGTTACATGAGCAACTTGCTTTCGGCCTCTTTTTGCAAAAGTGTTTGAGTTTCTGCCAGGAACTGTTGACACAGAGGTCTCGTCGACATTAAAAACTGTGGGCAGGAAACTTGTGCTGCTGCAAAACACTTTTAAGAAGATCATAAAACTTTGAAACAACAATTTTATTAAATCACCTTGCGCGGGCTGCCGAAGTTGCTTCTGGAACTCTTAACGTTATTTCTGGGTGCCTTTTTCGGAATCCGGAAAGCCAGTCATATCCAGCCATCTGTTTTTTTACTGGAAAAATTATGGGGAATTCTATTTTTTTCAGCCAACTAAATGCCAAGCACCGAAGATCAATTTTTGTAAGCCCATACATTCTGGTTTCAAAGTCTAGAATATGGGGTATAAGTTAATTTTCCTGATCTGCAGTAAATGTCGAAGTTTTGCTGCCTAAACGTTTTATATTTTCTTTGGCAATTGTGTTTTTATTTTTAACTCTGCGTTTAAGGGACATTAAAGGCACTTGAAATGTCCGTGCAGCAGTTTTTACGACATACCATTCTCTTTTACCTCGTTTATGGCGTTTGCCATGTTCTCAGGATCCCAGTTTTGACGCTGGGTTTTGCGGTGGTACGTACGTGGCATACTGAAAAAAACCAGAACAAATATTGGTATCCATATCAACGTATTGCTAGGTTTCTAAAAATGTATGGGGTAAAATGATCCCCGGATCATTTTAACCTATCATGAAGTAATAGTTTTACCCCAAAAGCAAATATTCTACAAAACCTAACCTACAAATTTAAGACAATAAAATGCTGCGCAAAGCAGCACAAAGGTAAGTAGCCTAAACTTACCTGATTTCGAACCCTGTTCAAGTTCTTAAGTTATCGAATTGAATAGGTACCACTTTAACAATGCTGCGAAAAAGTCCCAAAATAACATCGAAAATCATACAAGCAATAATGCACCTGTGAATGGCGCTAAAATGAGCCTAACAGTTCACAGATTGTTGTCGTCACTGCATTTAGTCTTTCGATTATACTTCATCTACACACAACCAAACTTATATGGAATCATCTATTATTTTTCATAATTTTTGAGATATATGAACATTTTTTGTTTATGAATAAAACTCGGTCCTTACCAAAGACTTTTAATGACAAATAACCCATATAGCAATAAAAATAATTATTTAGTTGACAAAATACACACAATGGTATTTTTTTGGTTTCTGAAACGAAATGAGATTTAAATTTTTAATAGCTGAAAAGCAAAAACAGAAAGAAAATTGGTAATTTTAACAATCCGTGTTATCACCTCTAACCCTTAAGCTTCTATTCGCCTTGGCATGCTTCTTATTAAATTGTCAACATTGTCTTGGAGTATGTTTCCCCATTCCGCTAATGCTGCATCAATAAGCTGTGCGACATTTCCTGCATTGTTTCGACGAGCCCTAATCCTTCTTTTGAACTGGTCCCACAAGTGTTCGATAGGATTTAGGTCTGGTGAACATGCAAGCCAGTCTAAAACTGTGACACCTTCTGTTTCAAGATATTCTGTAGCCACTCTGTTGGTATGGGGAGGTGCATTATCGTGCGTAGACAAAGTTATCCCCAATTGCAGCTCTACAAAGCCTTACGATTGGTTCTAAATCAACATATCTCGGACCGGTTAAAGTTTTTTGAAGTGATAACAATGGAGTTTTTGCTTCCAGCATAATACCTACCCAAAACATCACAGTTCCTCTTTGATATCTTGGGACATATCTGGCAGCGTGGAGTCTCGCTCATCTTCGTGTAGCTCTGAGAACCCGAATTCGATGGTCATCTGATCTTAGGCCAATTCTGGTCTCATCCAGAAAAAAGAACATTTTGCCAATTCTCAATTGTCCAGTTTTGGTGTTGGAGGCACCAATTTAGCCGGTCAATTTTATTTTGCCTAGATAATGGTGGAACCTGTAACTCTTTCCTACTGTACAAACCTCGTGCGCGAAATCTTTTTCTTAGAGTTTCAATTGAAACGTTCACCTGTAGCTTCCAGAAGTTGTCGTTGTAGCTCTAGATGAGAAACACTGGGATTTCAAGTAAATTGGCACACAAAACGGTCCTGTTGTTCAGTTGTGACTCTTTGACTACTTTGTATGGGCCTGTTCTTGAGAGTTTCTAGTTCCAAGTACCTTTCATATGTTTTCGATACAACACCCTGGGTATCGCTTACTACATCTGCTACGTCTCATTGGGGCATTCCTTGTTCAATGAAAGCAATAATTATCACCTCTCTGCATATCTGATGTTTTTTTGGACCGAAATAAAATTAGCGGAGGATCGTGATTTTACTTCTGAACACAAAATTCACAAGATAATAAATATCAGCAGTCGTTTCTTCTTTATTACCATGTTTGTTAAGAACAAAAGGCCTTATCTTAAAGTTAGTTTCCAAATTTTTTCCTTACAAAACGTTTATTCAGAAATACACAGTGATTCCATATAAGTTTGGTTGTGTGTATTACTCAACATATGGCACTGCTAGTTTTGTTTATATTCGTGGGATCATTATACCCCAGTATCCCCTAATTATTGTAATATGTTGACTAATTAACAAAAGCATTCCTACCTTTTGTATATAAAAAATAGCAACTTTCCCAGGAAGTTATTTTCAACCTACCTAGGACCACTGTGGAAAGCAGACAAAAATACACGATCTACAGAAGCAGTAAATAAGCATGTAAACAAAATGCACGATATTCAAAAAGTATAGTAAACAAAACGCACAGAATATATTATACAAGTATTTACCTTACAGTAGATTACACGTTTTAATGTTCTATTGATTGGCATAATATGTTGACCATAGGTATTTTTGATCTTTACAAATGGTAGATGCAAAGTTTTTTATGAGAAGTTAATCAGTTGATTTAACTAGTTGAAGAAAATGCTCATCTTTTGTAAAAAAACAATATCGTACATGATACATCTTCGAGAGTAATACTTTTAACAAGCATCTTACAATCATTTTTTAAAAGGACTCGCAAAATATATATTTTCACAAAACACTGTGAACTGAATATCTACTAGTTATTAAGATGCAGTCGTTGGTCGCCTGGCCAAATGTGTTAAGCATAATGACAAAGTCTCAATCGCCTGGCGATCGCATATTCTCGAATGGAACTTTTAAATATGTCGTTTTCTTTTAATTATCTATACTCTTTATATGTATAGGATGCTTGATGCTTTTTTTCATAAGATAAATGGTAAGGTAAGTAAAAGACAATTTTTTTTTAAATATTTCTGAATAACATTTTCTATATATATTTCTATTTTTCAATGTTAAACTAAACATTAACATCGGTATTCACAAAGCATTTCTAAATAGTTAACTATATGCCAATCCTTAAATATAAATACCATCGATTGAGAGAAAAAAGTATAGTTGGATGATGGCGTGATTTTTAAATAACTTTGGATTGTTACTATAATTAGTAAAATTCAAATTTAAGAGGTTATGTGTCCCCTAATCAATAACAAATTGAATATTCGTTAATATTGTTCTGGAAAACATGTAAAGAATGTCAACATAATTAAATAACAGTTCCTGAAATATCTATTAGGCATTCATTATAATACGTTTCGGTCTATAAGATTTTACATGTGGATAACTTTAAAAATGCTTTGTGAATTAGATTTTTTTTAATATTGACATATAATCAATATACCTACAGGGCGATTTTTTTTAAAATGGCTCGCTCTGAATATCTCAAAGTATAGCTATCATAAAAAACCAAAGCGTTAATTTTTATTGAGAGGGATACATAAATAGGAAATTAATTAATCACAATCAACCAAAATAAATTTATGCTAAAAATTAAATAACTAATAAAATTATTTTTTAAATGAGGGCCATACTTTATAATATGTAACATTTTTATATCCTGCTAGAGAGTACTAAAATCAAAAGTATCGCAATGAACACTCATATTGTTAATTTCCCTATAAAATTACTTTTTCTATAATGTTTGATAGTTGGTACTTTCCCTATTGGTTACTCACTGAGAGGAGGGATATGATGTATGACAATTGAGGATTTAATAGATGCCATCTTCTCAATAAAATTTGATGTTTTGGATATTTTTATTACAGTTCTATATTTTGATTTAGGGAGTGCCCTTTTTAAAAAATTACCCTGTATTTATTCTAATTGTATAAACCTGCATAATTTGATATGTTTAGTGATTATTTTTGTAGTAATGAAAATTAATAGCACTACAAAATCTTAAAAATTGAAATAGGTCTTTACAGCTCTTTAATATTTCATTAAGTCAACAATGTTCAATAAAGTTAAAATTTGTAAAGTTTATAACAAATTTTATTCATACGTAAAGATTAATTAAAACTTATTAACCCTTGGCAAGAGCAATTTTCAGTAATCGTAAAAGTAGGAAAATATGTATCGATTAATATTAAATGAATATTTAAAAAATACTAAAATAAATTTTATTAAACAATAACATTATAAAAAAGTGTACACCTATTATAAAATAGGAACAAAATAGATAAATCAGTTTATGAGCTGGCAGTATACCACCTTAATCTATTTACATTGATATTTTCTCTTGATATAAAATTACATATATTTATATCAGTACAATGTTAAACTTTTAAAAACCTACTTAGTACTTTTGTAAACAACCATAAAATTTTGTACACTTTGGCTTTTGGTCAGATCACAATAATTGATTTATAAACAACTATAATTTTTTTCTAAGTCTATAAGGCATATCAAAACAAGCTTACAATATCTGTATAGTAACTTATCATTTTAAAAATATGTAGAATTTTCAGTTCTTTGACAGTTTTATGGTCAAATAAAATCGTGCATGGAAAAATGCCCAGAATATTCTTATGTATGGGCCTTTTTTTGGAAGTACAGATTAAAACCTCAAAAATAATAAAACATCATAATATTGTATAAAAATATGAAATAGTTTTAATCTGCTTATGTTTGAGAAAGCCAACATACACAATATACAGGGCATTTGATTACAAATAACCAAACTATTGAGCTTTAGTTTTAATACATTAAGTACCACAAAAACTCCCTTGCAAATATTGACAACATTATATGAGCAGTAATGTAAGCTTGTTGAGGCATGCATATATTTTCTATTTCTTTTCTACTTGTTCATGTGAAGTCTTCTTCACAGATGAATCACTAAGATTATGTTTAATTAATCTAGTCAGTTGAACTAATTGAGCTCCTTCATTTGTAAAATGGCAAGCAAATAATAACATATTTCGGGGCTGTACCTTCCATGCAAATCTCATAAAAATTGCTGAATATAAGCAAAGTGCTGAAAAATTATACAATTTAAAAATTATTAAGAAAAAGCGAGAAAAGCAAACCTAAATTTCTATTTCAGGTCATATATATTGTATTACTTTCTAATATTTAATGAATATAAGTAGTTACAATAGTTTTGATTGATTATGCAATAATTAAAGATAACATTTCTTTTGATTCACATTAGAGAAAAAGTTATTTATTTGTTTATTTACATTTTAAACTATTCTGTAGGTGAACAAATTATGAAATTAGAAAAAAAATTGAATACTTATTTAAATAAAGTTACTAATTTATAGCAGTAGGTAGTTCACATGTATTCAATATAATTTATCATTACTGTACTGACATAAGTTATTAATAAAATAAATTAATTTGACAAAAACAAACAAAAATTAAAAATGAATTCTAAATCAAAATTAAACTAAACAATAATGACTTGTATAATATTTATAAACATTTTCAACTGATTCAAAATTAGTAGTACCTAATTAGGTATTTGTCAGTTTAAAATTCATAAATTTGTTCCCAAAGTCCAAACATAAGTAGCCTTGATTATTAAGTTTCATGTCTATAATGGTAACAAGTAAATTATTATAATTATGGTACGTTTAAAATTTAACACAAAAAAATAGGTTCTAATTAATGTAAAGTCAAAATTCAATGTATTAAAAACTTGAAATGTGATATTTTTTAACTTACCAACAGTCATAGAAGGGCTAATAAAATTAGGATCCTTTCTGAAATCACCAATTGCTGCTATTGGAATACCCCAATTCGCTACAGGGCCCCAAAAATGTGTACTTGAAACAAACAATATGTTAATAATTAATTCAATAGATTTTAAAATAAGTACCTCATTAAATAATTCCGGAATTCTTTTGACTTTAATGAGTCAAAACATCTCTTTGAAAACGAACTCATTGTTAATTTAATTTTGAATCTTCTAAGTATATAAAACGGCCTTATAAAAATAAAACGACCTTCTCTTCGTGACAAGGCCGTCAACTTGCATTTGAGGTTGAATTTGACGTTTCTGTTAGGCAGATGTTGATGTGGTAAAATCAGTACCGTCTTTGGATACATCGTTACGTCATTATAAAGAAATAGGTGATCATAGTCGTAGTGGTTAGATTTTTATTACCTGTTTCTTTTTTACATAAAAACTGTTTAAAAATTACTATTGTTGCATTTTTCATAAGTTAAACAAAAACATTAATTATTAGGTACTTTTTAATTGCGGTTATTTTCTCGAAATTTTTTAGTAAAATCCACTGAACTGTATATATGCTGCGTTTGAGAATCCACATCGGATGCATCTGAGATGTAAAAAATCTTTGATCACGTGATTCAGTATACGTAAATGTAATGGGACAGATGTGTCCGATGTGGATAAAAAAACGCTCGAGATGTAAAAAATGCATCCGATGTGGATTCTCAAACGCAGCATAAGAGTTCAGTGGTAAAATCTGGCTAATAAAATAATGTTCCTCCTAGATTAACAAGAATTTAATGAGCTGTATACAGGCTAAGTAAGCATAATATTTATTATGTATTATACTGAAAAAAGGGTGACATATCACTTTAGTGTCACAAAATTACAGATTTGACATATGTTTTAAATAAAACTACAGATAGGTATTTCTTGATTTTTGGAAAAAAAATTGCGGATTATAGTCAAAATTCAAAAATATGGCCTTTCCAAGTTGGAACTATTTTTTATTGCGGATGGTTGAATAGTGGTTGAATTAGGCATTCCAAACTGAATGGCTACCAGTGGGTTCTGACGGGTTATGATATGGCAAAATTATGGCAACCCTGTAGGATTGGTGATTTGACAAGGTCAATGAAATAGATAGTTACATAGATTGATCATCCATATTTTTCAAAATAAACATAAGCTTATGCCTTGAAGTAAAAATGTAAGCAATTATTTTTTTTAAATATCTAAAGGCTAAAAATTGGTTTTAAAACACATTTTTGCTAAACCGATTCAAATTAATAAATATTTGCCAGGCAATATGGCCGCTCGTAAACGACCAGCTTTGAGCAATCTATATAACTATATATGTATCATTGACCCTGTTAATGACAACATGACAACAGGGTTGCCATATCTAAACTGTCATTACCCACTGGTAGTCATTTGGACAGGTCGTTGGAATGCCCAATACTATACCTCCATGATAAAAGCGTAGTAATTTCGATTCGCGCATGCTCTCTTGTGCGTTTGTCGAGAATTTGATTTTATTTATCGCAATTTTATTTGTGTTTTTATATTTTACATAGGTTTTAAGTGTTTTATTGATTATTTATTAAAGACTATTTATGAGCATATTGCATTTTAAATCAATAAATATTTCAAAATTTTATGTTGTGTTTACTGCAACAATCAATTAGGCATTCCAACGACCTGTCAAACAATAGGTGCCAGTGGGAAATTCTTGTATATCTAAGGGGGTAGCGACATAGTCTTGCAACTTGGACGATATTTTTTTTCAAAGTAGTAGTCGCCAAGCCTGCCAATTTATGAAGAAATGTATAGGTGGGTTTTTTAAATATTATTTTTATTGTGTTTGACATAAAATATTTAAATGTAATCCATTATTCATGATTTTACGTAAAGTAGATAGAGTACACCATATGTCGCCACCCTTAGATATATTAAACCTGCCCACTGGTAATTCATTTGTTTGGAATGCCTAATAGATAAGGCAACTTAGGTTTGTTTGGTAGAAGTAGCGATATTAAGCTGAGAAGCAAGAACGTATATTCCCTTCCTCCATGGTATATTCTTTGATCTGTGTCAGTTGGCCGGGAAGCGAAAAGTTTTCTTGTAAAAATCGATATTATTCATCTCGTACAAATTTAGTACCTACCTAAAATAAGTACTAATTATGTAATATCGTGTAATATTGTAATTCAAATTTCACATTACTATAAAGTTTCAAAATTCCCTACTTCGGTATGGTCAGATAAAAATTGAATATATTACCCAGACAGCACACCAAATCCTTTGGATATCTAATGAACATCCCAATATCCACTGAATGTCCAGTCCATGGTGGATATCTATTTTATATCCATGAAATGTAATTTATAGACATGCAAATGTCCATAAATAATAGTAATTATATAGCAAATTATTAAAAAATTACGCCATTGTGCTCGCCATTGTGGCTAATAGTACCGTTCAGATATTTAAAATTAATTTTTTTAAGGTGTATTCTATATCCCATGGACATCCACTATAAATATAAATATATCAAAGTCTAAGCGCGGACGCAAACCATCGTGGATATCTACTAGATGTAATTTTTGATTTTGCTTCCTAAGTATAGATGGCGATACCACTTTCGTATCTACTCATGCTCAACCCGCCGTAAATGAGTTCGATCGAATTTTTTTGGCAATCACACTCTATTAGAGATTGGAGTCGAGAATTTGCATTTGTTGCTGAAGAGTCCTAATAAGGATGACTTTCTCCTTAGTGCCCTTATAGTGGGCAAAATCAAAGGCAGATTGTTGGAAATATTTTTTATCTCTATTTTCTTTAGAGGTTATTCAATAATCATTGGTTACTTATGAACCTCTACTAAAGATACCTATAAAATATTTTGCTGAATATCTGAATTCTATATCCATATTGGATATCCACAAAATATATTCTGTGGATATCTCTGGGATTTCTTGTATTGTCTGGAAGATACTCATTAGCTATTTTGCTGAATATCCATAGGATATCTTCTATATTCTGGATATAGACGGACATTTGGATATCCATATTAGATCCACGGAATATTTCTGATATCCTGTGGATATATTGGATATCCACAAAAGATATTCTGTGGATATCTCTGGGATTTGGTGTGTTGTCTGGGTATATTAATAAAAACTGTTAAAGTATTACTTCTACAAATCTGTATTTCAATTAATAAGAATACATCATATGCTGCGTTTGAGAATCCACATCGGATGCATTTTTTACATCTCGAGCGTTTTTTTATCCACATCGGACACATCTCCCAGACAACACACCAAATCCCAGAGATATCCACAGAATATCTTTTGTGGATATCCAATATATCCACAGGATATCAGAAATATTCCGTGGATCTAATATGGATATCCAAATGTCCGTCTATATCCAGAATATAGAAGATATCCTATGGATATTCAGCAAAATAGCTAATGAGTATCTTCCAGACAATACAAGAAATCCCAGAGATATCCACAGAATATATTTTGTGGATATCCAATATGGATATAGAATTCAGATATTCAGCAAAATATTTTATAGGTATCTTTAGTAGAGGTTCATAAGTAACCAATGATTATTGAATAACCTCTAAAGAAAATAGAGATAAAAAATATTTCCAACAATCTGCCTTTGATTTTGCCCACTATAAGGGCACTAAGGAGAAAGTCATCCTTATTAGGACTCTTCAGCAACAAATGCAAATTCTCGACTCCAATCTCTAATAGAGTGTGATTGCCAAAAAAATTCGATCGAACTCATTTACGGCGGGTTGAGCATGAGTAGATACGAAAGTGGTATCGCCATCTATACTTAGGAAGCAAAATCAAAAATTACATCTAGTAGATATCCACGATGGTTTGCGTCCGCGCTTAGACTTTGATATATTTATATTTATAGTGGATGTCCATGGGATATAGAATACACCTTAAAAAAATTAATTTTAAATATCTGAACGGTACTATTAGCCACAATGGCGAGCACAATGGCGTAATTTTTTAATAATTTGCTATATAATTACTATTATTTATGGACATTTGCATGTCTATAAATTACATTTCATGGATATAAAATAGATATCCACCATGGACTGGACATTCAGTGGATATTGGGATGTTCATTAGATATCCAAAGGATTTGGTGTGCTGTCTGGGCTTTTTTATTAATTTTTATTAGTTTTATTGATTTTCATTCATTTATATTTATTTTTACTCAGTTTTAAATGTTTATTCATTTTTTATTAATTTTTATTAATTTTAATAATTTTTATTAATTTTTTATTAATTTTCTTTAATGTTTATTAATTTTTATTTTTTTTTTATATTTGTTAATTTTTTTTGTTATTAATTTTATTAACTTTTATTATTTTTTATTAATTTTTAATAACTTTTTGTAATCTTTAATAATTTTTAATATATTTTTTTTAAATTTGTTGATTTTTATGATACTACCATACAAAAATCTAAAAACCACAGAGCACGTCATTATTTATTTATGCTACAATTATAATTTTCAAGTTCCAACGTTCAACAATATATTTCTATACAAATTTTCACCCCCGTTTTCCCCTCTTAAAATGTGAAAATCCAAAAACCATGAAACACATCATTTTTGATTTTAAATCAGTAGCTGTAATTCAAATTTTTATGTTTCAAACTTTAAATAACAAAAAAATATATACATACTATTAAACAAATTTTCACCCGTCATTCCCCTATTAAAATGCAAAAACCCTTCATTATTTATTTATGATGGGAACCTACAATTCCAATTTTCAAGTTCCTATACTTTTAAAAAAATGGGTACTTTCAAGTAAACTTTCATCCCTGGTTCCCCCTCCCCTTAAAATGTGAATAATCCAAAAACCCTGAAACACGTCATTATTAATTTGTACTCAGTAGCTGCAATTCCAATTTTAATGTTTCTAACTTTAAAGAGAACCAAAAACATGGATACTCCCAAATAAATTTTCACCCCCCATTTCCCCCCCTTAAAATGTGAAAATCCAAAAACCCTGAAACACGTCATTAATAATGTGTAGTCAGTAGCTGCAATTCCAATTTTCATGTTTCTAACTTCACAGAGAACAAAAAAATCGATAGTCCCATACAAACTTTCACCCCTTAAAATGTGAAAATCCAAAAACCCCGAAACACATTATTTATTTATGCTTAGTAGCTGTAATTTAAATTTTCATATTTCTGACTTTAAAGAACAAAGAGTTTCATTAAAAGCTCCCTCCCTCCATTACACCCATTTAAAGTTAAAATTTCCAAAAAATCCTTTCTTAGCGGATGCTTACGTTATAAAATAAACCTATGTTCCAAATTTTAGGCTCAGTAGTTTTGGCTGTACGCTGATAGGTCAGTCCGTCAGTCAGGACAAACAATTTTATATATAGGTAATCGTACGTTGAAGCACCAAAAACGCATGTATATGGACGAAGTGGCACCTATATTTACTTTGTTGCACCATTGCAAGGTGCCAGAACGTTTTATTGCATATTTGGTCGTTTTAACACCTTACTAACCCCTTTATCAAATTTCATAAAGGTGCCATTTCGACCATTTTTCTATAAAAACACGATTTTAGTTGAGCCGTATACTCGCCAGAGGTCAGGCCGATCGCTAACAACGCTCCGACGTTAGCGACGTACTGGCACCTCGCATGTAAATATGCTTTCTAAATTTGTGGCACCTCACTTTGTATACATTTTCTTACTTCGTGGCACCTTAGTTTGTTTTCGTAAGTGAACGTAAGAGCACCTTATATCCTCTGGTGAAAATGTCTCAAATACAGGCTAAAATTTATGTCGATGAACGAAAGAATATGTATGATTCAATTTCAAATAAATTTTATATAAAAATAAGTGAAAAGGAATTTTTTTCACTTTAATGTTTTGACAGTTCTAACGTAAAACATCAAATTATGACTAAAAATCAAAAATAGCGATGATAGACCTCTTAAAATTAATATTAAGGGCTCAAATTTTCGCGAAATTTTTTTTTGTCATCCTGAATGACATTCTCGATATATTTTCAAAAAAAAAAAAGTCAATTTTTTTGGCCCACTCTAATGTATAAAAAACATTATCCAAAAAGAAAAAAAAAAAGAAAAAATAAAAAAAACATTTTATTAAAATGTATATTACAACTTACATAGTCTTTAAGTTTTGTACAACACAAGTGCAATAAAGCAATTTTTCTTGTAATCTCTCCCATGCGACATTATGACAACTCATAATATGAGGTAAATACTCTCTTAGTGTATTGGTTTGAGCAATTATGAGACTGTGTGTCTTCAAAAACACACCCAAATATGCTTCAGCGAGTTCAAAATCTTTGTTTGATTTTAACATAAATTCTATACATTTCATAAATTGTAACATAACTTCTGTAGAACCACCATTATCAGGGGAAAGAGATTTAATTTCAAAATCTGTCATGGAAGGACCACAACTTTTTAGTTTCTCTATAACTGCTTCAAAATTACTATTTTCGATGGAAGCATTTAGTAATTTTCCAAAATCTGTCAAGTTAACAAAACTTATAGGAACAACAAATTTACTATGTTCATCATTTTCCGGCCTCACATCAAACTGGATATTATTTAAGGATGCTATAGTTGGAAGGAAAAATGGGGCAGCTTTTGGAGCTTTTGGAGGCTCCTTAGGTTTATTCCTCTTCTTAATTAAATCAAGATTAAGTAAGTTTTGCCATCTAGATGTTGAAAGACCTGATAAGGTAATCAATTCTTGACTTATTTGTTCAGGTGATACAAATTCATCATTTTCTGTCTTGATTTCTTCTTCTTCTTCTTCCAAAGCTTCTTGTCTACATTCAGGTAATATAACTAAAGGAGGTTCAGCACTAGGTATCAGAGCCTTTAAAGTAACTTTACTATAGAGTGTTTTATTACTCCAAAGGAAAATTCCTAAATAATCAATATGTGCTGTAGCTAAAGCTTCTCCTGTTGGAGAAAAATCTATCGAAATACAAGCAGCATCTGTGGAAAATTCATCTACTAGTTGGCCTGATGGTATATCCCAGGTCCTTATTGAACAGTCCATGGAAGAAGTAACTAACCATCTTGAGTCTGGGCTAAAAGTAGCATCTGTAAGTTGTGCAGTGTGGCCAAAAAACTTTCTCACTATTCTTTTAGTGTCAATATCCATGATAAAAAAAGAATAATCTTCCAGAGCAATTGCCAACATTGAGCTTTCTTGATGAGATCTGAAGAAACTAATTGGTTCATCCAGAGGAATTACAGCTAAAGATGTAGTTCCTGTAAATAATGTAAAATTAAATGTTTTTAATAAAAAAAGTTGTTAGCGAACAGTTTGTTATATATAACATTTTACCTTTGTTTTTGAACCTCCAAAACTTTACTTTGGTGCCTCCTCCTGTAACTACAATTTGATTGAGGGTGTCACTCATGACGCCACGAACAGGATTTTTATGTGCTTTTGGACTGCCATATGAGTCTCTCCAAAGTCCAGATTGCATATTAAATCTAAAACAAATTGTATTGAATTTATCTCAATAGGAATTAAAGAAAAAAAATGACATTTATAATTCTATAATGAGTCTCCAATAAACATAGGTACATGGTAACAAATATTTTAAACTTAATACACACACAACCAACAATAATTTTAGTGCTCCAAAATGTTGTATAAGGGTATAGAAAATTTAAAATATGCACATGAATTTGTTTAATTTCTTTGGTTTTGTTTTAACCGTTGTGAGTTTAGAAATTTATTACTAAATTTTTATGTTTTTTTTTCTTTTCTTTTATTTTTTTTTATTAAAAAATTGTAAATAACACCATTTTTAATTTATAAAGTTTTTATAAGTTCATTTGGATTTTTATTGCATTATCAAATTTGATCTACAGGTACATCTTTTTAAAATAAAATATAAAGATTAGTTAAAGATTAAGGCTTACCTATCTACATGTCCAGTGCTATAACCAACAATAACAAAGTTACCACAATGAGACAGGCTTAAACATGAAGCCACAACTTCTAAATTAACATCTTTATTTTTCTTTTGAAATCTTTCTGGTAACAATTTAAGTTGTCCCATTTTGACTTTGTCATAAGACCATGTAGTTACAAGAGCAATTTCACTATGTATAGCAGCAATATTGTCCCACTCCTTTTCTCTTGTTATTTCTGAAGTGAATTGAATGATAGGAGGCATTTTTAGAGGGTCTTCAACAGCCCTACCACGTTTTTTGCTTATTTTTCTATTGTAAGAAGCTTTACCTAAACTTTTATTAAATTGTTCCGTCTGAGTGTTAAATATTCTTAAAGTTGAATCACCAGCACTGCTTAAAATATTATGTCCATTTGAACCATGGAAGCGAATGTAAGAAGGTGTTGCTGAATGGCCTAAAATAAAAAATGAATTGTAATATATAGTGTAGGTGACTCTTTAAATGTTAATACATTTTCAGCTACTTTGTGATAGAAGACTCATGACAACCTTCTAAAGATTAAAGTACGGTAGAACCTCGATTATCTGTGCGCGCTTTATCCGTGCGACATTTTAAATTGATCATTCGTGGCTGGTACATGAACACTGGTTACTTACGGATGGCCACTCTAACATTTCATGGGTTTACATTTAATTTTGATACTAAAAAAATATTTCAATAAAATTTAAGTATCTTCTAAGATTTTCTTTAGCTACCCTTCTCTACTTTCTCACACCTTCGCTTTTTTCGCCTATACCAACTTATAACTGCTTCTACCCTTACCCTGCTATCTATTCTTTTTTCTTCAATAATTGAAATAAATTTTACATTGTTTCTTTTTTATCTTTTTATTATCTCCTACAGATTCACACTCAATAATCCAAAATAAATTTCAATACAAAACCTTTCTTTTCTTTACAAATCTAGGTGACAAACCCTAAAACATTTTTTCAAAATATTTTGTTTTTTAACAATTTTTAATTTCCAGATCATGACAATTATGACCCATTAAACGTTGATTAATCAATTTTGGCAACAAAAAATACATCACTAAATTAACTTTGAACCGGATATCATATCAATACATGTATTGTACAATCATTGTACATTTTTTCATTATGTAAAAATATTTATGATACTCTGCAATGTTATACAGGAGTGCGTTTAGAAACCCCGCACGGCGCGTCTCACCACATACATTAGAATAGGGTCCAGACGCGCCGTGCGTGGTTTCTAAACGCACTCCAGTGGTAACCAACCTCTGCACGGTGGGCTTGAACATGATTTAAATGCGAAGTTTTAGCACCACCGATTTTCTTTCGGCATTCGATTCCTGGAGTCATAAGAAGGCTAGAAAAAAAAATCCACTTTAAGCCTTAGAGAGCTATTTCCGAAAAACGCCTTTCTTCACGAGGAAAGATTCAGTGTTCGAGATATCGAGATTTTTGTACCTTTTGCTCACTTTTAGTTGCTAAACATCTCCAATTTGGCATAAATGATGTTTTCCTATCAGTTTTACAATAGCACACAAATATTTACAAAGCATATTTTTGAAATTGCTCCTTTTACTAAGACCAGAGATACTTTTTGGCGATTCTCAGAAACAGGTTAAAATAGAAAAAAATTCAAAGAATGATTTTTCATTCGAATGAGTTTTGCGCTAGTATGTCAACAAGCGAGAATCATATCTTTTATTTCCATCCTTGTTTGATTTGCGGGGTCATCGAACTATCACTAACCCCCACTCCCGATTCTTTATTTACGTTTTGTTATACTGGAGATCGAATTATCAATATTATTTGTGCAATTAGTTAAATGTTCAGATAGTCTTCGACCCTTCGAGGTGAAGTTGTAATTGTTCTCTTCGAAATTTCAATTTCTTGGGAAAGTATGGACAGAAGATCAAAGGATCATGCAGGGACCCATCAAAAAAATCGGGCGCGCATATGTTTTCTCTGTCTGCAGAAGAAGAATCAAATGGTCAAAATCAGTGGTGCTTTATGTGTGAAGTTAAAAAATGTGTGAATTATGCTGAACATGATGAACGTTTTCCCAATGTTTTATGTAGCGCTTTCAAAATTATCGTATATCGGTCAGTGAAGTGTGAAACTATCGAGAAAATAGCTCTGCCGGACTATACAAAGTTCAAAATTTTGGAGAAGAATACTCGGGCAAAAACTCAAACGCCGTGCAGTTGCACATTGTGTGAATTGGTTCGAGATCCAAGGCCATATAACTTCACAAAAAAAAATGACAAGAACAAAAGGAAGAGGAGCAACAAGTGCAAAAAAATGTGATGAAACTTATTCGGTAGGGAAAAAACATTTTTGTGCCCCAGAAAAACACTTCCCGAGTTTCAAAGAACATGTAAGTAACTCGCTTCCCCTGAAACAGAGAGAACATTTGGCGTGTTCTTTGATAAAGGACAAAGTTTTAAATGAAGACACAAATTCTCGTAGCTCGAGTAATAAAACCGCTATATTATCTGAGATCCACGGAAAGCCACTCAACGTTGAAATTACTCCGAAACTAAAAAATTAAACTATAGGCCCGCAACAGATTTCCGCGGGAGATGTTTGTAAAATAGCCACAAATTACAGCCTCTCCAGCAATATAGTTCAGGGCATAGCAAGAGACTTACGCGTTGGCTCCCAAAAAAGAAACCTGTTTGAACTACATCTGAAGACGCCACAGGCTAGATGATTTTTTGGATTTCAAAAGTTACCTCATAATAACATTCAAAGCTGGCGAGAAAACGACCTCTACAGAAATACTGGCATTTTGAACAGATATTCCGCCCTTAATCGATTGTATAAAAGCAACTCGAAACAATGATAATCCCCATTTGAAGTTTGGCATTGATGGTGGGGAGGTTTTCTCAAGATTTGCCTTTCAGTGCAAGAACCTGATTCTGCTATAATAGGCTGTCGACAAAAATATATAGAGGGTGTAGGGGCTAAAAGACTCAAGGATTCCGGAGTCAAAAATTATTTGTTCTGGCAATAATTGCAGGTACACAAGAAAACCATGAAAATGTGAGAATGTTATGGTCACTCTTAGAAATCAATGATTTTGCCGGCACAATTGCGACCGATTTGAAACTGGCCAACATATTGGTAGCAATCGTGTCTCATGCCAGTAGCTTTCCCTGTACTTGGTGTTTCGCCTCGAAAGAAAGTTTGGATACTTGTGGGGATAGGAGGACAATACAAAACTGCCAAGAACATTATTTAGAATGGGAAAAAGCCAACTTCAAAAAGTCACTTGCAAAAATTACAAAAATTGCTCGAATTTGCCTGTTCTTTCTAGATGCACGGATGACTCCAGACAGATTCTTGACATTGCACCCCCTGAATTGCATTTAATTCTCTGAGTAATGAACACGCTTTATAATCGGATGAAAATGGAGTTCGAATTTGAATCTTTTGAGTGGACCAAAAGGTGCAATGTCGGCCACGAATTTGTGCATGGGGCCCCTGCATTCGCGGGTAATTCATGCAAATTGCTTTTGGATAAAACTAATGTTTTGCAAAATTTATGCAGGCCTGATTGTCTGAATTATGTAAAATGTTTCCGAGAATTTCGAGCAGTGGTGGAATCTTGTTTTTCAATAACTCTGGAACCTAACTACAGAGAAGCAATAAGACAGATTTAAAAGAAGTTATCTAGATCTACAGATCAGTGTTACTTCAAAGGTCCATGCTGTGTTTTTCCATGTACCAGAGTTTTGCGCTAAAACAAAACAAGAATTGGGGTTTTTTAGCGAGCAGGCCATGGAATCTGTCCATCATGACTTTGGGATAACGTGGGACAAATTTAAAGTAAAAAAAATGTCATCCAGATTATACAAGTAAATTACTGACTGCACTCCGAGAATATAATAGTGTTCATTTATAAGTTGTGACTCAATAGTTGATTTGTTTAAAAAGCCAAGAATTTCGTTTTCTGTATTACTGTTCTTTACTTCAGACATTAATTCTTAATTATCAAACTATTCATTCTTGTACAATCATTGTACATAATTAAAAATTTTTTTTTTATAAAAATTATCAGTTCAATGATCAAAATTTCAATTTTTTATCATTGCTTTTCCCGTCAAAAGGTGCGTGCAGAGTTTTTTTTTTTTGGTGTGGATCCAGGAAAGGATTGTCTGTCTTTGATCTTCCATTGGGGAGTATTTGGATATCACATTCTTACCAAATTGAGCGTGTCCCGAGTCCAAAAATGCCTATTTTTGTATCTTTGCATTATCCATTGAAATAATTTGATTTTTTCAAAATCGGCTCTAAGGCTTACAGTGGATTTTTTTTCCAGCCTTCTTATGACTCCGAAAGAAAATCGGTGGTGCTAGAACTTCGCATTTAAATGCTGTTCAAGCCCACCGTGTCTGCTTATGGATATTATGAGAATCATAATGGGCTAGCCCGGTAAAATTTTTAACAACAGTTGTCTGAATTGTCAGTTGTAACTGAACTGTTCGTATTTTAAGTCAGATTTGGAAACTTGTGATGATAGTGTCAAATGATAAAATTTTATTTGATTTTAAGTTGTAAAACTGCAGTAAGTATATATTAAAACGTAAGATACATGCCTATTACCTGGGGTGGGATTCCGTTCTGTGTCGAGTAACTCGATCTCGATACGATTCATAATTCGATCGAATTATGAAAAGCGATTCTATAGTCTCTATCTGTTTTAACTTCGGAAATCTTCGACTCTGATTTTATATAATTGCAATTCCGTTAAACGAAATTCGACAATAAACTCGATCAAATAACTCAATAGCTCTAGAGTAGTCGATTCGATATCAAATCATTAAAGTTGAATTTTTTTGACATTAGGTATGAACCTTTCCTGCAGCAATGTGCCTTTTCTGAATAACCTCTCCTTGCATTAAGGGCCTTATTGTCTCTATTAAGTATATACGGGGTCATTACTATTTTATAGGGACAGTATCTGTAACTTGTCGAGGGTGGGTTAACTCATGACATTTAGGCCTCACTAGGCTCATTGTTCATCCTCCCAATTAGATAGGTACCTACTAGCTCGTGAGTCAGGGACAGTATTGCTATTTCTTAAACGGCAACAGATAGAAAAATGGTTGAATTTGAAAAAAGTTGCGCAGTTTTGTGCTTATTCAAATGGTGCCAGAAAACATTTGATATATACAAAGAAATTCAATATATCTGACAAAAAAGTTTGAATTAATTTTAAGAAATGACAATTTTTATTTTTTTTCCGAAATTTCCCTATAGATATCAAAGGTTTCTTGGCACTATTTTAATAAGCACAAAACTGCGTAACTTTTCTCTTATTTAACCAACCTTCTGTTACCGTTTAAGAAATAGCAACACTGTCCCTATGAAATAGTAGGGACTCTGCATACCACTTGAAACATCAATAAGAGGATTTATT